TTCAAAGTAATCCAGTGAGAATGGCAGGCAGAGGGAGGAGGGTAGGTGAAACCCTGCATTGATAACTTCAGAATTTGTGACTGGAGCATGGCGGTTCATTACATGGTTCTCTCTATTTTTGAACATGTTTGAAAATTGTTGTAATAAAAAGGGAAGAAATGGAAAGATATATATCTACACATACACATAGTATAGATTTCCTCCACGTGGACAACTTTGGATCTAATTTGGAAAAGACTTTAGGGGCACCTGGGTGGCTCAGTTGGTTAAGTGTCTGCCTTCGGCTCAGGTCATGATCCTGGAGTTTAGGGATCGAGCGCCATGTCCTTGTCAGGCTCCCTGCTCAGCGGGGAGTCTGCCCCCCCCCCCCCAGCACATGTTCTCTCTCTCTCCCTCCCCTCACTCACTTTCTCAAATAAATAAATAAAAATCTTAAAAAAGACTTTAATGCTTATAAGGGGTATTTGAATACTACTGTTAGGAGAAAAAGATGGGAAAATAAAATTTACTGAAACAAAGATTTTAAAATATACAACTCGAATCCGATGTAAATGATTTAAGAAAAATATTTAGCCTGAAATTTAAGATGATATATGGAAGAGATGAAATCACCAAGGAGTTTTAGGAGAGCTTGTCAAAGGCGACTTCGGTACCAGTTTAGGGTGGAATAAAGGGAGTTTCCAGAATTAGTTTGTCTTTGACCTGCCTTTGCTTTTATTTATTCTTTTTTAGTAGTAGTAAAAGGAAAAGAGTAGGTTGACCTCTTACACTGATTCTGAAAATAATGAGTGATCTAGTTTCCATAATGCCAGCAGGTGGCGCATTTTTTTGGCTTTTTCTTCCCCCAAGCTAAGAAAAATTTGAGAACCAGTATGAATATATGAAAAGAAGAAATGCTGCCTTTTCATTCTTCATATTCTGTTTCTCTCAGGGTAAATACTTCACAAGAATAAAAGTAGAATAATCTTTGTTTTGCTGTTTCTTTTCCACCTCAGCGAAGGCTTGGATTTTGTATTAAATTGTCAAATAATTCCTCGTTTCACTTTTTCTGTAATAAAACATAGCTGATTAAAATCTCAAGTGCCTGCCAATCTTCACACTGTGGGATGCCTCAGGACGTGGTCAAGACCCTAAACTCCAGTGAACCAGAAAGCCAAAGTGCATTTCACAGGGTGCTCTGACCCATCATGCTTTATGGCTTGTGTCCTGGGATTTTATGTTGCTTTCAGTGCTTCTGAAAGTTTCCCAGGTGGGACCGAAGGTTTCAACGTAGCGTGGAACAATCTCTCCACCCACCCTGGTCCAGCTCCCTGAAAAGTGTCCAGGGCTGAGGAAGTCGTGGTGCCCTGTTTCTCTCAGGGAAAGCCCTAAGTGGATGCTTTCTCATGTAGAAGCCCCGCAGCAGGACACAAATCAACCTTCCGTGCATATGATAGACATAAGCGTGTCCTCAGGATCTTTGGAACGATCCGGAGGCCTCTGAAAAGAAGCGAAGTGAAAATCCCCATTCTCTACCCCTTTGACTTTGGGCTAAGTTTGCTGTAAATCAATCTGAAAAATAGCTGCAAGTATTTTGTTGTTTGCTCCACGGCAGAGGAAAGGGACATAGGTCATTTCATTTCTAAAGGAATACCCAATTGTCAGTGCCCATTACACATATGTTCATAATAGAAACTTAGGAGATCAACTTTATTGTGAGAAATAGAGAGGAGCTCTTAGTGCTAATTTAATCAAATGCTATTATTTTTCACTGAATCAACCTTTTTATTACTACCTCTAGAAAAATGTTTCCTGTAATGTATCAGACTCTTTGAAGTAGAACTTAACTTCATAAAATGATTCAATAATAACTCCCATAAGGCTTTTTCAATCAAACGTTAAAGAATGTCCTTTTTGGAGCACCTGGGTAGCTCAGTCAGTTGAGCATCTGACTCTTGATTTTGGCTCAGGTCAGGATCTCAGGGTCAGTGAAATTGAGCCCTGCGATGGGCTCACGCTCAGCAGGGAGTCTGCTTGTCCTCCCTCTGCTCCTCCCCCAACTCGTGCTCACGCTCTGAAATAACTAAAATCTTTTTTTTACTGTCCTTTTTTCTTTTATACCTGTCTTGTTTACAATAATACTCATCACAAAACTTCAGAAAATCCAGAATACAACAAAGAAGAAAATAAGGATTACCTATAATTCCACTGGACTTTTAAATATATATGCATCACATATATTTTTTTTAAGTAGTCTCCACGCCCAGCATGGAGCCCAACATGAAGCTTTGACTCATGACCCTGAAATCAAGACCTAAGCTGAGAACAAGAGTCAAATGCTTAGCCAACTGAGCCATCCAGGTGCTCCATGCATCATGTTTTTAAATGGAACTCAGTTTGCTGAGTTGTGTTTTTTTTGTACAACCCCCCATCCCCCGCCGCCTCCCTTCTTATTTTTTTTGTTTGTTTGCTGAGTTTTTTTTAACAATGTCTTTCATTTAGTGATGGATTGTGGACATCATTGCATATTCATAAATATAGATATACCACATTATATTCTTTTTTAAAAAGCATGGAGGAGGAAGCAGTATTTATAGTACCAAGCATAAATTCTTTAGGGATTTTTTTTAAGATTTTATTTATTTATTTGTCAGAGAGAAAGAGAGAGCACAAGCAGGGGAAGCAGCAGGCAGAGGGAGAAGCAGGGAGCCCGATGCAGGACTTGATCCCAGACCTTGGGATTATGAGCTGAGCCGAAGGCAGATGCTTAACCATCTGAGCCACCCAGACGTCCCTTTAGGGACTTTTTTTAAATTGAGAAATAAAATACATAAAGCGCATAAAGTTTCATGTATATCCCAATAAATTTTTACACACTTAAATGTGTTAGTTTGCTTGGGCTGCCATAACAAAATACCATAGACTGAGTGCCTTAAACAACAGAAATTTATTTCTCACACTTTGGGAGGCTGGGAAGTCCCAGATCAAGGTGCTGGCAAGGTGGGTTTCATCCTGAGGCATCTTTGTCTCGGAGAAAAAGAGAGAAGAGAGAACTTGCACTCACAAGCTCTCTGATGTCTCTTCTTAGAAGGGCACAAATATTACTAGATCAGGCCTTCACCTTTATGACTCACTTAACCTTAAAGGCCCTGTCTCCAGTGTCACACTCACTGGAGGGTCACACCGTGGGTTACCCTCAACACGTTAAATTGGGGGGGGCACACAATTCAGTCCATAGCAGTAAGGTTATTTTCTAAGGAGAATAAAGCTTTCTGTACTAACTTAAGTTATATATCTGCATACACAAGTCAAACTAAAAAATGATTTTATTGGATAATTTAGGAGAATAATTTTTGTGGATCCTTTGGAATTTGCTCCCTACTGGAACGTAAACTCCATGTGGGCAAAGACTTGTGTCTTTTCTCTTCATTGGTAAATTCTCATGTCCAGAACACGGTGAGTAGCATATAACTGGTGCTCATTATTTATTGAATGAACAATAGAATGTTTTCTTTTTTCTTTCTTTTTTTTTTGGAGGAGGGAGGCAGTATCAGAGCTTAGGAGTCACAGAACCCTAAGACAGACTACCTTGATGGAATCTCAGTTCCATTACTTACCAGTTCTTTTACCTTGGACAAGTTACTTAAGCTCTCTGTGCCTTAGTTTTCTCTTCTGCAAAATGGGTATTTCAGGGTTGTTGTGGTAAGGATTAAATTAATTAATAGGTTTAAACCATTTAGTATAGGATTTAATATATACTAGGTAGAAGTAAATACCTTGAAGTAGGTAATGTTAGATATTTGCATTTAGGGTTAATTGTTCTTTTTTATATGCAGTCACAACTTAAGAAAATATCCTGTGAAGTCAGTTGTATGGGATGATGTTTGCCTTGACTTTTGATGAAGAAATATTGAGACATAGAGCGCTGTGAATTGTGCAAGACTGTGGAATCACAGATCTGTACTTCTGAAACAAATAATGCAATATATGTTAAGAAAAAAAAAAGAAGAAGAAGATAGCAGGAGGGGAAGAATGAAGGGGAGTAAGTCGGAGGGGGAGACGAACCATGAGAGACGATGGACTCTGAAAAACAAACTGGGGGTTCTAGAGGGGAGCGGGGTGGGGGGATGGGTATTAAAGAGGGCACGTTCTGCGTGGAGCACTGGGTGTTATGCACAAACGATGAATCGTGGAACACTACATCAAAAACTAATGATGTAATATATGGTGATTAACATAACAATAAAAAATTTAAAAAAAGAAATATTGAGACATAGCGGTTATGTGACTTGTGATATTTAAAGTAAGGCAGTATATTTGCATTTTCCTGGAATTGTTTATTAGTTGGATTTTTATAATTATTTAATCACTTGTTTATAAGCTCTGAAACCTAGTTTGAGCCCCTAAATTCTATATATGCATGCAACATCTATAAAGTCATTAATTTGTGGATTTATATAGTCTCCTATCTTTTGGACCCTGTTATGATTTTTAAAAATACAAATTTATATCCTCCTTTAGTTATCAGGTATTTTCTCAAGCAGTGGAAGCTGAAAGTACAACTATTAACATGCAGAATCCCACAGGGGGGAAAAATGGGAAAAAGAAATAAAAACAAAAACAAAAACAAAAAAACATGCAGAATTCCTAAATCTGGGGATGATAAAAAGGGAGATCTCAAAAAAATAAATAAATAAAATAAAAATTAAAGAACCACTGCTTAAAAAGCAAACAAAAAAACCCCACTTCTTTAGTGGCTTCATTATATAATTTCCATATATGAGGAAATTCTTGTAATTTCATTTAATATATTGTAAATCTTGATCTCCTAATCAGAATTGTAGAGAATCTCTTTCCTGTGTTCGCCTGTAACTATGAAACCAAAGGTCCACTTTTAGCCCAGGGCTTGGAGGCCAGCCTGGGCGTAAACTACAACTCCCAGGATTCCTGGGCGGGAGCTTCCGGAAGTTGTAGTTCCTTCCGCATTCCGCTACCGCCCACCCTACCTATTCTGTCGCAACCCGTGCCCTGGGCTCCGGCTCCGGATGAGTATCGCCCATGGTCATCTCCTAGAATTTTCTTTATTGCTTTGTCATTTTTTTTTCTTTCTCGATTTGTCATTTTTCTGTTGTGTTTCCCCTGTTAGCTGTTACGCACACCCAAGGACGACTGCTGAGGAGAAGCTGAGAGCAAGCGTTAACCCGGAAGGAGTGAACCCGGAAGTGAAAATAATACAGTGTCTGTCGGGCTGAAATGTAGCAGGTCACAGAAGGTTCCGGCTTCAGAAAGGAAAGCCGTCGTCCTTTCTTCTTTTTCTTAGGTACTCACAATTATTTCTTTCTCTTTTTTTGATCTTAAAAAGTATTTTTCCACCCCCATTTTTTTTTCCATGTTGCCTCGGCAGGATCACTCAGTATACTTAGTTACAAAATATGGCTTACACGTGTTGCTCTAGCGCAGGCTTAGTGTCACTTCTGACCTGCCGACTCTGAGAATTGTTACTAGAGTATCAGAGTAACGCTGCTGCTGCGGTGCGTGATGGAGAAGACTGGCCGTGCTCAGGCATAGGTAACCCTAGCGAGTTGGTGTGTTGTGGTGTTTTGTTTTGTTCTCTTAACATTGAGGTTCAAGACCTTAAGAATTACTCATTCTACTACTGTTTCTAGGATGGAAATTTTAGCTAGAAGTGTTGTAACAAAAATTTGTCATCCTGTTGTCCGTTTTTTCAAATGGACACACTTCTCTGATGTGTTTGAAACTAGGGCGCCTGGGTGGCTCAGTTGGTTAAGCGGCTGCCTTCGGCTCAGGTCATGATCCTGGAGTCCTGGGATCGAGTCCCGCATCGGGCTCCCCGCTGAGCGGGGAGTCCTGCTTCTCCCTCTGACCCTACCCCCCTCATGCTCTCTCTCTCTCATTCTCTCTCAAATAAATGAATAAAAATCTTTAAAAAAAAAAAGAAAAAAACTAGATGTAAAGACACGGGAACTTGTGCTGAAGGACTGTAACGTGTGTGGCTGCTGGGCATTGGTGCATTCTTCCACAGTCTTTTTCCAAATGGGCTTCAGATGTTAAAGTTCGTTGGCAGAATCCTGCAAAATCTGAATGTTTTGGAGACCATTCTGAGTATGTTATTTTCTAGGATATTATGATATTCAAGTTAGCTGACTTACAATGATCAAATGAGTTAATAAATGAATGCACCGCCTAGTGTAGTAGGAACACGGGAAACAAAGTTGATTCTCATAAAATTTTGACCCTTATTTCAACTTTGAACCTCAGAATTTTAGGAGCAAAGTGTTTTCCCTAAAATACTTTATCTTTTCCCTTTCTTAATAAAACTCTTCTGTGCTTTTGTTAGCTTTTGATTATGTCTTTTAGAGGGGTGAAGAACAGGAAATTCATGTACACAGCCAGTTTCACCTAACTTGTAATTTTTTAAAGTAACTATTTTTTCCTGATTGTGGCAGTAATACGTGCTGTGGGTATAGAAAAATTTAAAACACCGAAAGGTAGAAAAAACAGAAAGCAAGCAAAAGGTATCCACAATCCCACAACTAGAAATCATCTTATTAACGTTTCGGTATGTTTCTTTTTTAGGTTGTTTTTTTTTTCCCCAAAAAAATATTCTGTTTACCTTTTTTACTTATATATCATATATCATAGAAAATCTTGAAAACCTCGTTGAGATTATATTGTTTTGCATTCTGCTTTTTTCACTTAATACAAGCAATGCCACCCTCTCTTTTTACCTGCCTACTTTCTTAGTCTGTTAATATCTGAAGTTTTCCTCCTTTAGGATTTTAGCTGAAAAGTAAGCACCTGATTGGAGAATTGAGAATGGAAAGTGCTGAGCTCTGAACAGGCAAACTGTATTCTAGCATGAGCTCTGCCTCTGGCTGGCTGAGTAAATAATCATGATTAAGTTACTTGACTTCCTTGGACATCTGGATACCTAAAATTAAAGAATTAGACAAGAAAACAGTTAATATTTCCTTCAAACTTTAGAAATCTATGTATATGTGAACCACCTAAAACTTGCATGATTATTTCGTACCTTTCAAGTGCTTGTTCACATACTCAATTCTAGATCCTGGATACTTTCTAGGAAGTAGCTGATTGGGCCCAGTCTATTGATGTATTTATTTATTTATTTATTTATTTATTTTTTATTTGACAGAGACAGAGACAGCAAGAGAGGGAACACAAGCAGGGAGTGGGAGAGGGAGAAGCAAGCTTCCCACGGAGCAGGGAGCCCGACGTGGGGCTTGGTCCCAGGACCCTGGGATCATGACCTGAGCCGAAGGCAGTCGCTTAACGACTGAGCCACCCAGGTGCCCCTATTGATGTATTTATTAATTATGCTCCTACTCATTTCCCATCATTAATTATATACATTGAGTGAATAGAAAACCGTGCTATCTTCATTTATTTTAATATGTTAGATTCAGAGGTATGAAGAATTATTTTCCTTTTATGGATTACTGAATTTTCAGACTGTGTTTGGAGCTGCCTGTGCCCATGAACGGAACAAGATTTCTTGAGGCTCCTTCCAGCATTTGTATTTGTAGAGTTGATTTTTTTTCTTCAGATTGTGTTTATTATATTTCAGATGCTGAGATGAATCGTCCCCTGTGTGCTTGGCTTTTTAGATGTTCATCTCTTAATGGTCCCCGCCAGTACCACCTCCAGCGCCAGTCTCATCAGTTTACACAGATCCATCTTGATACAAGGCTGTGGATTTTTAGACAAAACAGGAATCGCATTCTCCATCATCTGCTAAATAAGAATTGTCCCCGGAGATATTGTCATCAGTCCAAGATGCTGTGGAAGAATAAAGCACTACAGAAATATATGGAGGACCTGAATAAGGAGTACCGGACTCTTGATGAGTGTTTGCAGCGTATGTCTGTGAATGAAGGGGACCAGAAGTCCTTGAATCGAAGGCATGCTGAGTTGGCACCACTTGCAGCCATTTACCAAGAAATTCAGGAGGCTGAGCAAGCAGTTGAAGAATTAGATTCAATGTGTAAAAGTACGTAAAAGATGTGTGTGTAAAGGATGTAATTGATTTTATAGGTTAAAGCTTTCTTGAGTGCGGTCTTTTAAAAAGCTTGGAATGAATACACTCTATACTCAGAGAAGACAGGATTCTCCCCTGGGTGTTTGATGTATTTTGGCTACTAAAGATCAACTGCTAAGAGACCAAGCTCCTCGTGGTGCTTGCCAAGAAGTTTTTAGGGTCTAGGAGACTGAATATTGACCTTTACCGAAGCTTTAATTTACTGAGCAGGCCTTTACTGAGCACTCTCCTATGTACAGAGCAGAGACACAAAAATACAGTTCCTACCCCATCAAAGGGTATTATTTCATCCAGGTATTATTTCGTCATCCCAGAAAGAATCCTGCACCTTGTAGCCACTTGCCCCAATTCCCCGTTCCCTACCAACCCGAGGCAACTGCTAATCTACTTTCTAGATTTACTTATTTCAGACATCGTATATAAGTGGAGTCATGTAATTTGTGCTTTGTGACTGGCTTCTTTCATTTAGCATAATATTTTCAAGTTTCATCTCTGTTGTAGCATGTATTTGTACTTCACGTCTTTTTATTGTGGGACTATATTCCATCGTATGGATCTACCACATTTTATTTTTATTTATCCATTTATCACTTAATGGATATTGCGTTGTTTCCGTTTTTTTGGTTGTTATGAACCATAGTGCTACAATTGCCTATCCTAACTCTACACTTGACCTTTTGAGGAGTTGCCAGACTGTTTTCCAAAGTGGCTGTACCATTGTTACTCTGCGCTTCTGATTCTAGCTATCCTACTGGGTATCAAATGGTACCTGAGTGTGGCTTGGATTTGCATTTCCCTGGTTAATGATTTTGTGTATCTCTTCATGTGCCTGTTGGCCATTTGTATCTCATCTTTGCATACATGACTGTTCAGATCCCTTGCTCATTTCTAAAATGAGTTATTTGTCCTATTAATGAGTTGTGACGGTTCTTTATATTATAGCCACAAATTCCTTATCAGATATATGATATGCAGAACTTTTCTCCTATGGGTTATCTTTTGAAGCACCATAATTTTTTAGTTTTGATGATGTCAAATTTATCTTTTTTTCTGCTGCTGTTTGTGTTTTTGGTGTTACATCTAAGAAACTATTGTGTAATCCACGGTTACAAAGGGTACATCTGTGTTTTCTTCTGAGGTTAAAATTTTTTTTTTTAAGATTTTATTTATTTTTTTGAGAGAGAGAGAGACCACGAGCAGGGGGAGGGGCAGAGGGAGAAGCAGGCTTCCCGCTGAGCAAGGATCCCAATGTAGGACTCAATCCCAGGACCCCGGGATCATGACCTGAGCCGAAGGCAAACACTTAACCAACTGAGCCACCCAGGTGTCCCGAGAGTTAAATTTTTTAACCTTACATTTAATTCTTTGATCTGTGTGAGAGGTGTTTATTTTTAGTTTTGATACTTCTTAATATTGCTATTGCCTTAACATTTTTTCCTCATATGACGATTTTCCAAAATGTACAGAAGTTGAGAGAAAAGCACAACGGACTAACCTGGGATTCAACATTTATCCAGATAGTGCTATAGGCTTTCAGTTTCTAAACTTTCTTCTGTGCTCCATCCTGTTCCATTAAGTGTTAGAGATGTTAAGCAATGTCAAGGCCAGTCACAGTTATACCTGTAAAGTCCTGGATTTCCTATTCTATTGGTGGTACCATGAGTTTCTCACTATGTTTAATGAGGATTTTTTTTTTTTTAACTCTGCATTATGCCACTCAAATTTGTAATTAATTAGTTTGGGGAAGGTTCTTTGCATATAATAGGAACTTACTAAATGCTTTCTAAATTAAATTGACATAATCTCTTTCAACCTTGGTTGTATCACCAGTATACAGTGGTGTAGACATTGTATCACCAGTATAACTGAGATTGGATTGGATTGTTTCTGAAGTCTCTTCTAGGTCTAAAAGTGCTCTTCTGTAATAACAGTGGTAAAAGCAACATTTACAGCCCTACCATGTGCCAGGCACTAAGCTAAGTATTTTACAAATATTATCTCATTTGAATATTCACAATAATCTAATGAGGTAGGAATTATTATTAACGTCCCTGTTTTATCAACGAAGAAACTGAGAGCTTAAAATGCCAAAGGTCACTCAGCCAATCAGGCAAGGAGCAAGGATTTGACCCCAATCAGTGAGATTCCACAGCCTCTATTAGCCACTGCACAATGAGTCCAATTCCAGTAGAGTCTGCCTCTGTGGTGTACCTTTCGTGAGTCCCCTTCTTATATCCTTATTATATCTCATCCTGGATAATTACAATACATTCCTAACTTGTCATGCCACTTCCAGGCTTTCCCAGTCCACGTACAACTGTAATCAGATTACTCCCCTGCTCAAAATTTTCAGTAGCTCCCATTGCCTATAAATACAGATTTCTCGATTTGGTATTTAGGAGTCTCTGCAGAAGGGCCCCTGGGCGGCTCAATCAGTTAAGCATCTGCCTTCAGATCAGGTCATGATCCCGGGGTCCTGGGATTGAGTCTGCTTCCCTATCTCCCTCTCCCTGCCCCCCACTTGTGCTCTCTCTCCCTCTCTCTCATAAATAAATAAAATCTTTAAAAAAAAAGAGCTTCTGCAAAGTGACACCAGCCTCTCTGTATAGTATATTAATTCCCTTTGCATATGCTACCTCCCAAGAAAAATAGATAACTTGCCGTTCCCTGAATATACATAGCCATGTCATCCCGTATCTGTCTTTGCACACATTGTTGCCCACCAATTTTACCTTGTTAAAATTCATTTCACTTATAAAGTATGGCTTGGATGTCACACTTTGGCTTCAATCCCCTCTGCAAAACAAAAACGTTACCTTTCTCTGTTTTGAATTTTGATCCTTTAAATAATTGTCTTAATTTCTACCCCTTCTTTCATTATGTGTTCCTCAAAGACAGAGCCTGTGTCTTACTCATTTTTATTTTTCCTGCAGCACCAAACATAGGATATAATAGACTCTCAAACCTTTCTTGATGTAATGAAATTGAATTAGGTTAGATTTCACACACCAGTAAATAATAAGAGGGCACAAAAATAATTTTATGTGACTGCAAGTCAGGTTTTTCTGATGTCTTTGACCCAGCAGGTACCTGTATGAAGTAATGTCAGCCTAGTTTCCATTTGTGGCATAAGTGTATAATGTGGGGCCACTAGTGATATTACAATTCTGCAACTAGATCCATTAGAATTTAGTTCAGATGGCATCTATCCAGGAAGCCTCTCTCAAGTGCTAAGGTCTGGGTTAGACCTACTCCTTTATGCCTCCATGGCACTGCCCTGTCACATACTGTAATTGTGTGTACATGTCGATCTTTCCTACCAGACTGAGCCCTTAAGGCCTGGAACCATGTTTTATTCATCCCTGTGTCCCCAACAACTAGCAGAGTATCTGGTGCATAGTAAGTGTTAGATGTTGAAAGTATGAAAGAGGCATAGAATCCCACCAGACCTTAATGACTTCCGTGACCAGGAAAGAAATTTCAAAGAGCCTTCTCTGTTTTATAATTATGATTTTTCATTTCTGTTTTCTTCTTTGCTATTAAGAATCAAACATTTCTATATCAACTTGCAAGCATCACCACTAACAAATGGAGTTTAGGTATCTAGAACAATGGAGTCAAAGGTTATGAGATCTACTATCTCTCATTGTTAGCTTTTTTGTTTGGAGTTCTAGGATTTAACTTTCTGCTTTTGAAATGATGTGGAAAGGATCATTGTTTCCATAAAGCAGAGGTTACAGAGATGTTTTGTTTGACTTACATGGTGTTTTTAAAAACTGTTTACTAGGTATAAGTATTTCAAGAGATTTCAAAATTCTAAGAGTTCTTATTTCTGACTTTGAAAAAAAAAATGGAGGCTCCAGCCCTCCTGGATTACCCACAGTGTGCTGAGTAATGGCTGCTGCCTTTAAGACAAGAAGTGGTCACTCCCATTTACTCTGAAACTTACCTTATTTGAGTTTATATTTAATTAACCAGTCCTTTTTCAAGCTTGTTTTATTAATCATTGATTCCTGTAATTAGTTTTAGACATTCAAATCATAAACTCTTTGGGGCAATGATCATACTTCTTTACACAATGAATTTTTTTAAATATGCTTCACAAGTACTTACTAATATTCTTTTTTTTTTTTTAAAGATTTTATTTATTTATTTGACAGACAGAGACACAGCGAGAGAGGGAACACAAGCAGGGGGAGTAGGAGAGGGAGAAGCAGGCTTCCTGCCAAGCAGGGAGCCCGATGCGGGGCTTGATCCCAGGACCCTGGGATCATGACTTGAGCCGAAGGCAGATGCTTAACGACTGAGCCACCCAGGCGCCCCGACAAGTACTTATTAATATTCTTTAACTATTCTAACTGTTCTTTTGTGTAATCCCTCCTTCACAACTGAAATAAAATTTATAGACAGAATTAGGTAGCTATTTAAGAGTTTCCTTTTAAGTATTTAAAAATATTTATAATTTTTGTTGTTGGTTTCTAGGTCTAAATAAACAAGATGAAAAGCAGTTACAAGAACTCGCATTGGAAGAGAGGCAAACCATTGCTCAAAAAATCGATATATTATACAGTGAGGTATGTTTTAGGAGGTAAACTACTCAATTGTGTTGATATAAAAGAATACTGTTTTACTGGGCTATACTGTAGTGTTCAAAGTACTTTCTAAACACCAGTTTATTAAATCTTCTTTTATGATAAATGATTAAGCTGGGTTTAGTACTGTAATTTGCTACAGAATGAGATTGAAGCCATTGGGATGCCAAAGAATAAAACATCGCTTTCCCCCTCACCTCCATGAGTAACTGTATTCCAAAGCTGTTAACTTGCCAGGTGAGGAGACAGATGCTGGTAAAGAAATTTAGTTCACCAAGAGGAAGAATCAGGGGTTTGCCTTAGAAAGGGGGAGTGGTTCACAGTGATTGTGTTAATTAAGGATTGAAAATTTGCTTTCTGGATAGAGTGGAATGAATCCGAAGGTATAGACACAGTTGGTTCACGCAAGTCTTTAGCTCCTTGTAGTTCGATGGATGATTTGTCTAAAAGACCAGTGAAAACCGCAGCGCCATTTAGCCTCTAGAGCTTCTTCCCTTCTGTCCTGTTTGCCATTGTCCTGTCTTCCGCCCCCTACTCTGGGACTCCATAGAGGGGCTTGGTGAGGAGAAGGAGGTAGAGGTCTCAGTTACTGTTATCACTGATTTAACTAGCAAGTCAAAGGCAGAAGGGTGGTGTCACTCTTGGTCTGATGTTCCCTCCCACAGACTACCATTTCTAACAGAGATGGAGTATTTAAAAAATTGGCAGTAGGGAGAGTCATGACATGTAGGTTGTTTGATTTGAAAAACTTTTTAGTAATAAAAAATAAAATTGCATCCCTTTTCTTCTTTAGAGGGAAGCTAGTTACTTTTTCAGGAAGCCCTTTGTTTTCTTGTCACAGCTCAGAAACTATTTAGGTCTTATCCCGGGAGTCCTCAATATGTCCTTTAAGCAGAACAGCGTTACTGAGAACACAGGGCACGACCTGGGGCCCACTGTCATCTGTGGCAGGAGAGAATACACAATCATATGTAAAGAGTCCTCATTTTCTCCAAGTGAACACTTTCAAAGCTTTACTTCATTCATTAGATGAAAGAAGCTACTGTTCAGAACTATTAAGAGGCAAAATCTGAAAAAAATTGAATGGAACACTCCAGACTTTGATCCAAACTTGGGCACTTTTAGAAAATTAAGATAATCTGATAGCACTGTGGAGAATACCCTGACAAGTAACTCCATTGTTAGCATGAATTGATCACTTATTTTAGGTCTAATGCAGTCTACTTATTATAGCATTTAATGACTAGACCTCATTGGGATGCTATATGATTTTGTTAATTACTGATTTTTTTTTAATGTTTGGAGGTCTTTTGTCTAAAATGAAGCAATAGTATATCATGGAAAATATACACACAAATGCTGATTTTTTTTTCTATTTTCAGCTTTTCCAGAGTCTAGTGCCAAAGGAGAAATATGACAAAAATGATGTTATTTTAGAGGTGACATCTGGAAGAACTACTGGAGGTCAGTTAAATAATTTTATTACAAATGATCTAAAAAAACACATTTAAGTTTTACCTTGGTTTGACACACTATAACTTTAAAAGTCCACTAAATGTGTTTCACTGTGGAAACCATCACTCCCTATTTCCCAAAGGGCGTGTACCTAAGAATGGCTCTCTTAAAAAATCTGTGCTGACTGAATATTTTTTGTATTTTTTTAGGTGATATCTGCCAGCAGTTTACTCGGGAAATATTTGATATGTACCAGAATTATTCAAGCTATAAAAACTGGAAATTTGAACTCCTGAATTACACACCAGCTGATTATGGTAGGCATATTTGAGGATTTTGTCCATAGATGATGCTGAAAATTATTTTACCTCTGATCTTGATTAGAACCGTGTTATCCCATTTTTTTAAAGCTTTTATTTATTTTTGCAAGAGAGAGAGCACGCATGAGTTTGGGGAGGGGCAGAGGGAGAAGCAGACTCCCCGCTGTGCAGGGAGCCTGATGTGGGACTTGATCCCAAGACCCTGGGATCATGATCTGAGCCGAAGGCAGGAGCCCCCTGTTGTTCCATTTTTTAAAACGTTTTATCTATATCTACTAAATGCTGTAATGCAGGCTCATCAATCTCAGCAGCTTTACCAAAGTAGAGGTCTTAACTGTGAGAAGAAAGTGGGAGGTAGTGAAGGAAGGAATGTCTGAATTAGAGAAAATTTCCCTGGGGAGGATAGATAGGTACCTTGCCTTGAAAATCATTGTTCTCTGTATTCAGAGAAAGATATATTAAGGTTTTTTACTCTAAAGAACTTTATCATTTATGTGATAACAATCTGAAAGTATTATCATTTAGACTAAGTGGCCAATGATATATTAGATTTTTTTTTAAACTTCTTAAATTTTTTTTTTAGAGAGAGAGAGGGATGGGGAGGGGAGGCGCAGAGGAAGAGGGAGAGAGAGAGAATCTCAAGCAGGCTCCACAATCAGCGCAGAGCTTGATGCAGGGCTCGATCTCACGACTTTGAGATCATGACCTGAGCTGAAATCAAGAGTTGGATGTTTAACCAGCCAGGAGCCCCTAACTTCTTAAATTTTTAAAATCTCAAAGTGCACATAACAGAATCATTTTTCCAAGGATCTGGTTTGCCAGTGTTCCAGCCTTATGCCTCTCCTCATCACTCTGCCAAATCCACTGAAATCATTCTTCATAAAGAATTTTATGAACTTTTTTAAAGCTCTCTTTTGAATATATTCCATCTGTCTTATATTCTTATCATTGAAATGTTGAAGTTAAAAATAATCTTCTCCCGGGGCCCCTGGGTGGCTCAGTCGGTTAAGCAGCCGATTCTTGATTTTGGCTCAGGTCATGATCTCAGGGTCTTGAGATCAAGTCCCAGCAGCGCCGAGTCGGGCTCCACACTCAGCGGGGAGTCTACTTCTCCCTCTCCCTCTGCCCCTCCCCGACTTGTGCTCTCTCTCTCTCTAAAATAAAAAAATAAATCTTAAAAAAAAAAAACTCCCTATTTCATATTCTCTCATAAAAATTTTTCTCACATTTTTATTCTCTCAACTTCTTTATTCATTGTCCTTATTAGCATTTTTTCTATCTTCCCCTTTAGCATCATGTGTGAGTTTCTTGACTTTGCATCTACTCTCCTTTTTTTTGATGTATTCGATTTTTATGGAAATGCAGAAAAAGTTAATCATTTGTCTTTATTTTTAAGTTGGGCTGATAAAAACTTACATAATCTAAACAATAGCAAACAATACAAGTCCTTAAACTTTTATTTTTTTTTTTTAAGATTTATTTATTTTAGAGAGAGAGAGAGAATGAGCAAGGGGAGGGACAGAGAGAGAGGGAGAATCCCAAGCAGATTCCCTACTGAGCACAGAGCCCGATACGGGGCTCGGTCCCAAGATCCTGATCAGGATCATACCCTGAGCCGAAACCAAGAGTTGGACACTAAACTGACTGAGCCACCCAGGCACCCTAAGTCCTTAAACTTTTAAATACTCAATTATGTTAAATCAGAACATCTGGTAGTAATTCTTTTTTTCCTCATTCTTTTAAGCCATATGAAAGTTTTTTCTTCTTGTTTATACATTGATACCCCATAATAAAGTAGGGGAGGTGGGGAAAGAGGATTAAAGTAAGTTAAACAATAGAGAAAAATGAAAGCCAGTATCTAGAATAAGGAAGTTGTGCTTGGTACAGGTTTTATTTTTTTAAAGATTTTATTTATTTATTTGACAGAGAGAGTACAATCAGGGGGAGCGGCAGGCAGAGAGAGAAGAAGAAGCAGGCTCCCCGCTGAGCAGGGAGCCCAATTCGGGGCTCGATCCCAGGACCCTGAGATCATGACCTGAGCTGAAGGCAGATGCTTAACTGACTGAGCCACGCAGGCGCCCCTTGGTACAGGTTTTAAATTCGGCCGGTGGTCAGGGAAGGGGGATTGAGAGCAGAGGGAAGACACAACCAGAATAGCCACGTGGTGGTGGGAAAGATCTTGGTGTGTGTAGTTCAATGAGGAAGCCAGTCTACCCAGAGCATATTTGTGGTAGGAAGACATAGTAAAAGGTAAAAGATTTATATGATTGGAAGAGAACCGGAGTATGTGATGGGAAGACATAGGAAATGAGTTCAAGGGGGTAGAGTTTGAACAGCCTTAAAAGCAGAACGGGCCTTGATTGTTGGAGAGTAGAGACCTGTTGAAGATTTTATCAGTAAGCATATGATTTGGGGGCACCTTGTTGCTGCAGTTGGTTAAGCGTCCAACTCTTGGTTTCAGCCCAGGTTATTTAGGGTTGTAAGATTGAGCTCTGCATCTGGCTTTGTGCTCAGTGAGGAGTCAGCTTCAGACTCTCTCTCTCTCTCTCCCTCTGCCTCCCCGTCCCCCGCTCGCTTGCTCTCTCTCTCTCAAATAAATAAATAAATCTTTAAAAAAATAAGCACATGATTTGATAAATACATATCTTAGGGCGATTATTTAGACAGCAGTGTGCAGGATGGATCAAGAGGCTCGATTTAAGGCAAACTGCAGAGAGGTTACTAGAGCAATCCAGGTGTGACTAAGACTTAGACCTGGCATTGACCTGTGGCAGACCTTCAGAGGAAGAACAGACAAAAGAGGAGCCAGTACTTGCCCCTGTGTCCTGCATACATTGTAGGCGATCTGATCCTCACAGCCCTGTGAGATAGATAATATTAAGCCCGTTTTACAGATGAGGAGCTGGGCTCAAAGAGTAAGTGACTAATCCAAGATCACACAGTAAGTAATGGTGGTCCTGGGATTGAACTTACATTTGTCAGATCCAGAGCCACACTACATCCCAGTAGTCTGTTCTGACACAAACAAGATGAGCCACAGGGATTCTAATCTTCCTAGCCAGAAAGACTGTGATATTCATTCAAGTTGGAGAGCAGAGCCCATTCGGGAAGAATAATGATAAGTTGTTTTTAAATTATTAACTCTGTGGTTATTGCGAACACCCATTTAGAAATATCCAGTAAATGCTGCAGTTGTGTCAGCAGAGCTTTGGTGAGAGAACAGAATCAAGGAGAGAGATTCGGTAGCCGTTAGCACAGAGGTGATACCTGACGCCGAGAGGATATGTGAGGGAGAGTCTAGGGAGAGGGAACATTCAGGGCGCCAAACCTTAGGAAATGGCCACACTGAGAAAGATTGACTCGTTGGCAAACGAAAGAGAGGAGTCCGATAAGCAGGAAAGGGATGACTACAGTATAATATTGTGGAAGCTAGAGATGAGAGAGTTGTAAGGGAATATAATCAGGAACAGCATAATGATGTAATGTATGGTGACTAACATAACATAATAAAATAAAATTTAAAAAAACCAGGAACAGCAGCATTTTGGGGCATCTTGCTGGCTCAGTTGGTGGAGAACATGACTCTTCATCTCAGGGTTATAGGTTCGAGCCCCACGTTGGGTGTAGAGCTTACTTGAAAAAACAATAAAATCTTTAGAAACAGCAACATTATAAAAGAGAGAGTAGTGGCAAATGTCAGCAGTGACCTCTCTCAGATATTTTGAATCCAGTTTTTAAGAATGAAAGATGAACTCAGTAGTAACAGTAAGAGAGATTCTGTGCCAGGGACGTAGAGCAGCCTAAACAATCCCTGGACAATGGTTGGGAAACCTTTCTTTTAGAAAGACTGGCTTACTTGCAAAATAAAATAATGATACTTTAAAAAAGTAAAAAGGACAGGGGCACCTGGGTGGCTCGGTTGGTTCAGCATCTGACTCTCAATCTCAGCTCAGGTCTTGATCTCAGGGTTGTGAGTTCAAGCCCCACATTGGGCTCTACACACTGGGCATGGAGCCTACTTAAAAAAAAAGAAAATTTTCTAATTAAAAAAAATCAAAAGGACTTTTTTTAAGGAAGGAAAAATTTAAATATTTTACTCTATACTTTTAAAATTAAAGACCAGGAGGGATGCCTGGGTGGCTCAGTCAGTTAAGCGTCTACCTTCAGCACAGGCTTTAGCTCAGTCATGATCCCAGGGTCCTGAGATCAAGTCCCGCGTCAGCTCGCTGCTCAGCGGGGAGCCTGCTTCTCCCTCTACCTGCCACTCCCCTGTTTGTGCTCGTGCTCTCTCTCTCTCTGACAAATAAATAAATAAAATCTTTAAAAAAAAATTAAAGACTAGGAATAAACCTCTACTCATTAAAATTAGAAAATAATATTTAAAAATTGATTTATTTATAATCAGGAGAAGAAAGAGATATGACTAGGACGACTAACATACAGAAGGGGTGAAAAACACCTATCATAAAATATGCATACTAAATAATATGTGTATATATTTTAATGTTTACTTGAAATGGAGAGGAACTCACAGATTCATACAGCACTAAAAGCTAAGGTTGAAAAGAAACATACTTTCAGGCAAAAATTCATACATCAGGTGACTTAAAGCCTTGTAGCTTTGTGATTGGAGGTACAGATAGGGACAGTACTCAAGCATTCCAAGCTAAATGATTACAAGATAGTTGTTGTGGCAGCAGGGGAGGGCGATAGCTCTGGATATGTAGTGTAGGTCTGACACTTTGTTATTCTGTATACCTGGCATCTGATAAATTGAAATATCTTCCAAGTTAAAGGGATTCTATGAAAAGTTACCTCTTCCCTCCCAACAGATTGATATTTATAATTATGTTTTGTTATTTTCTGCTTGCTAGTTAAATTCAGGGAGAGGTCACTTCGAGTAATGTGATGGTTAATTTTACGTGTCCACAAGTGTGAGAAAAAAATTTGTAAGGGGAGCCCTGGCATCCTTGAAGAGCTCTGTGCTGGCTCTTCTC